CTATGGAATGCAGTGCAACCGTTGGAGTCGCCCTGGGAGGAGGTGGCACCAAGTTTCAGGAGAAGCATAGCCATTGACTTTGCCTTTTCCTGAGGGAGTGAAAGCGCCAATGTCAGCGTCAAGATTGCGCCTGTGTCCGATGATTGGTTGTTGAGGAACTTGACCGGAAGGATGGAATCGGCTCCGTAATCGCACAGAAGCTTGACAGCATCCTCATGACCCTCAGCAATAGCAAGGTGGAGTGGTGAACAAGGAACGTCCCATGCCAAGACATCGATCTGGTAGTAGTCCGGCTCGTCCTCGGATTCATCTGGGACGAGGTCGTCGCTTTGGTCTTCTCCCTTCTTGACCTTGACAAACGACCCCGTAGCCATGGAGGCGGTGTCGACGTCAGTCATCTCCTCATCAATGAGTTCACCGTCAGACTCCTCGTCAGACATAGCATCGTCAGAGTCCAGAGCCTCTTCCTTTTGGTCGCCTTCTTTCTTGTCTTGACTCGCGGCCTTGGATGCCTGGCGACGCCTGTCCTGTCGTTCTTCTTCGGCCTCTTCATTCTCGATACTCTTCTCCATCAATGTCTTGATGATGTCCGTGTTTCCCCTTAAGGCAGCCAGATGCAGTGCCGTCTTTCCGTCAGCCAGGCGGGCAGTGATCCGAGACCCGTGGTCTACAAGACATTTAACGACCTCCGGGATAGAAGTCATGACAGCCAGGTGCAGCGGCGATCGTCCTGTGTAGTCTCGCTGGTTGGGATCAGAGCCTTCCTGACTGAGCCAGTTGAGGACGTCATCAACATCACCATCAATGATTGACTGACAAAGTCTGGCAGTGTTTCCAACATATGCCATATCAGTCCAATCTTTCTCCGTTAGGGGGTTGAAGGAACCAATCTGCTGCCTGCCAGGGTCGTCAATGAGGAAGGATACCTTGCCCGAGATATAAATCTCAGCCTCCTTCTCCGCCACCTCGACCTCTTCTGGAGTGACAGCTGTTGGGCAAGAGCCACAGCAGTCCTCGATAACATCCTCAACGCGGCCAAAGAATGCTGGGTGGCGATGCAAGTAAACGTCTCGTTCAGAGGGCTGATTCCACTCTGCGTTGAGAAGGAGATCGCGTGTATAGCAAAGCTTCTCGATACGCTTCGCGTTGAAATGCTGTCCGTAGGGAACGGTAAAGGTATGGTAGTTGCTGATGTCCTCCTCCGAGAGCCAATCAGCAATCTCATCTTCGTGGTAGTCCTTGATATTTCCGTGGAGAGTATTGTTATTTCGGAATACAGTAGGTCGGCCACGTTCCTCTCGCCTCTTGTTAAGATACGTTTCTCGAGCAGATGTGGTGGGAAGTCGCTCGAGGACAAGGAGGCGAGCCAGACCAAGGGTCCTCTGAAAGCTCCTCTCAAAAATGGTAGGGTCAACGCGAGAGCGATCCAGATCGGGCCAATAGACCTCAAAGTTCCGGTGAGAATACTTGGAAAGACGATTCTCGTAGGAAGGACTGCGCCGAGTGAGATCGACGTGGTTTATCTGGGTAATGAAGCTGCCCAGTGCTCTGGGAGTGACATAGACTTGCTTGCCGTCATAAGCTCCCCCAGCAGCATCAATGTCGAAACCTGTGAGGATCTCGCTGACAGACTTATAAACACGCAAGACGATCTGCGGCTGTCAGCATCGGCGTATGGGGTTGCTGGAGATGGTTCATTCTTACCTGTACATGTCTAACGGGGTACTGGCTGGCAATTGTGATAGCATACTTAGTCCTCACCACCGTAACCTCGTTGAGGAGTGCATCCCGAATGGCTTTCTCGATCTGTTTGATCTTTTCAATGGCTTGTTCGTGGTTAAGCCCGTAAAGGAAGAGATCAACATCAGATGCCGGGCAGAACTTCTCATGGTAGTACTCGCGCAGCTTACGCTTAGTAGTGTTGAATAGCTTGGGGACGGGTAGGAGACAGTTGACGACGGAAGAACCAGCGGCGACGACATTGTTCCAGTCCATGTCAACAAGGGAAGATTCAGAGAAGACATTGAAGTTGTGTTGGTACTCGGCGAAATTGGCTACAGTCGCAGGAGAGCCGTGAGGGCGACGTTTGTCGTCTGGGAGAGCCATGATATACCGAGACTTGTCTTCGTCGGACTCGGTCTCGAGGTCTCTAGCACGAGTAGTGATGAGTTTGGTGTCCTCGGTGAAGAGAGGGAGGACATTGAGGTGAGGGTTGTTCAGGATCGGGTTCTGACGGTCCTGGGCGTAGACGGAACGCAGAGTGGCCTCATAGCTGCGGTAGGGGTCTATGATTTCAACCATCGATTTGTCGGGGTGCTCTGAGATGTACCTGGCCAGCTCCGCGTGGGGAGCTGGGAGCTGTGGAAGGTCGGCCATGGTTTCAATGGGATGTGGCAGTGGGAGTATGAAAGGAAAGGAGGGAGAGGAAGAAATTGGAGAGCGAGAAGGGGGGGATGGAGATGATAAGTGGTGGTGAAAGCGGTAGTGAAGACTTGGTTGTCGGGCGTTGGGGAAACGGAGGCGGGGAGGTGTAAGTGGTGACACCGGCGGGGGAAGGCGCGGAGGGGCAACAGCAGTAGCGCGGCGGGCTGAAGCAGGAGTGGGAGCGGAAGCACACCGCAAACAGAGCTGGCTACAGTGGGTTGTTGAGTGTAGTAATGCCAGGCAATGATTCCGGCGAGAGAAATCGAATGACAATGGCGGGGAGGAGAATTGAATATGTGATGAGGGCTTAAGACGATGCGGATGAGGTCTTGTCTGGAAACGGAGGGGAGGAATCAAATTGGCTTTATAGCCAGCGCACCAAGAGACCGGGCTCCCTGAAGCCATTGGATCTGTCTAGCCAGCTGAGCTGCGCTGCCGAGGCCGTCTCCAACGCTTGTACAAGGACCATCACACCGCCGCCGTGCAAACCCGCTGGAAGCTGAAGATGGATCATGGATGTGCAGAGCACAGCAGCCAACTACGCCTATCGCAGGCTAGCACGTCCGCCGAGACGCGACGCGAGTCCCTCTGGCCTCTGGAGCAGAGCGTACAGGGGGCTGTGCTGCCTAGAGCTGGCACGCGAAAGCCCGTGATCGGTGGTTGCTTGCAGCTCTGGCGCTTCTTGTGATTCCGTTTGGCACCATTGACCCCGCTGGTGCCTGGCTAACAGGGGGCCATTTCCGTCATTGACCTCACCTCACCAACCTTCATCACGCTCATCCACATGACACAAGTGATGTATCGTGAATTCAAGAAAGTTGATCTTGACATGTCAATACATGGGACTTCATGCCTTCATCGTGATTCATCGTGATTCATCGGCTGATTCCCTTCGGAGACCATCCACCATGTTACACCACCAGGCAGAAACCCCCCCTCCATCTCACCTCACAGATACTGCGCAGCATCAGTTCGCTGTTGGAGGAGAAGATTCCCGACAGTTCCGGGAACTCATTGAAGATCCCCAGACCTCTCATCCGCAATCTCTTCGTCGTCTTGAAACCGCAAGTTCAGCTGCGAGTATTAACTCCGCAATGACAGTGTTGGGCGGGTCAGCTGATCAGCCGCAACCATGCTTATCCAACAACAGCTCGTGCCAAGAACCTCTAATAATTAAACCATGCTAGAACTTCCTGTCCCCAGCTCTTAGCAACATTTTCCTTCTCTGTTTCAAGGAGCCTAGCGGGGGAGGCGGCGTGTGTTAAATCGCAATTATCCAACGCCTACAAGTGCCAATTACATACACGTTCTTTAGGCCCAGCCTCACCTTCCCCAAGTCCTCTCTCGGCGGGCATCTTCATCACGATAACATCTTTTCAGATTATCCAAACTCAGATGGAGTATTTGCGATTAAGCGTACGTTCTTTGGTCACTCCATTTCTTAAATCGCATAGCCCAATCGCCTATGAGATCATGACAGTGGTCTCACGACTATAAAAAGAACACCAAATGATTGTACCTTATGAGTTTGGGATTATTTATCAACGATACCGGCACAGGCAACTCGATTAAAAATCGAGGCCTGGAGAGGTTCACTATGGGATCTAGCTACCAATTATTGAACCCTGTGGTTCTACATTGGGGTGTCCAAATATATGTCAACTATCCATAACAAAGGAGAGATGAGATTTGATCATGCAAGATATTTCCCATTTACATAGAAAGGACGTTCGTGGCATCAAGGGCATTCTGGAAAGCGTGTCCATGGTGGCGATGGAAGCAATAGCCTCATCGAGCGTACCGTCCTGAGCAGCCGAACTGGTAGACAATGCCATGATAATTGCATTCAAGAGATTCTATCGTATTTGATTAGATGGGAAGCCCAACGGTTTGACTTCTACTGCTCACGTCGAAGGCGTTCTTGGTGCTCGCGATAAATCCATTGATAGGGCCGGCGACCAGGGCGAAGTGGAAAACAGGTTGCCCTTCGAACTGATTGCGTTCATCAACAGAGTCGTAGAGTCGGCGAGCTATGCGTTTATAAGCCTAATATCCAATGTGTATTGGAACTGGCGCTCTTATCTTGACGACAGCTGCCAGAAGCGGGTCGGCGGTGGCATGGGTGAGCGTGTCCGAGGAGCTAAATCCGGAGCCGCTAAACAGCTGGGTACTAATAGAGTTGGGGACAATGGAAAGCAGCTCGAATAGAATATCGAGCTTGACTCAGCATCGTATCCGCCTGCAAACGTTCTGAGTCAATCGACGTGCGCGTAGTTTGTCCGTCTTGGTCCCGGGTAGTGGGAGACTGAACCCGTGGCTGGAATGCATTTCCACTTGCGGGGCTTGCTCTATGAGAGCTGACCCTTTCAGCCCTGGAAAAGAGACACGGAGAGTTCTAGAGTCACTAGGCTGTGGTGGCTGCCGGATGCAGTGAAGTAAGTCACTGGTAATGCCGATGAACGACGACAGGGGGCAAGATGGATGCGATAGAACAGATGAGAAAGAATGAAGCCAAAAACAAAAAGTAAAGCCAAATAATGTGTCAATTGACTGACGTTGGCAAAAAATTATATCCGCGACAGAGACAAGATTCGAACTTGCGCGGCCGAAGCCAATGCATTGCGAGGATTCGAGTGCATCCCTTTAACCACTCAGGCACTCTGCCAGTTGCATTAGATGTTGAAGAAAGCGCTTGCAAATGAAACCTATATTCCTGTAGACACATTAATTGACGTTAGCGCATTCTTAGCCTGCCCCTCCCTGCTACGACACATGGGTCATCACCTTCTCGCTTCTGTATTACCATATTTACCGGATACTCTATGGAAAGCTGTAGTTGCTCGTTGGATGCGTTATTGTTTACATTTGTTCTTTTCGGATACTCTGCATCTCTCGTCGTAGTCTACATCGATTCTTTATCTATCATAGCAAAGTGTGGCTTCCGAAAAAGGTAACTGATTCACTGTGTTTGGCCAATTAGAGGCGAGTGCGACTGGTCAACGGGAGTGGGGCCGGTTGTTCGCCGGGCTACAACTCGGGAGACAGCTGAGTAACTTATCTGCTGTATTCCGAAGGCCAATTTAGTCGACGTGGTGACCGAATACCGGTATGTGAAATTTCGCATGGTTGAACTGTATACTGGCAGGGCAACTGTGCTCTGAGGTTGCGTGATTTTACTTGCGCTTAATTTTCCCCATGCCTCTGGTACATAGGTAAGTTAGTTGAGGAGTACTGAAAGTTCATGCAAACATCTTCATTATTTCAAGCAGTTTCTGCGGAGCCCGTTGTCGACGAAGCTAGACGCAAATAAACAACTCCTAACCCCAAATATCATTACCCATGGAAATAAGGAGCTGCCCATTCAGATAGTTAATCATAATCGGATATCGATTCCGACAAGTGTGCAGGGTAGTCACCCCCGTCGCGAAGCCACTTTACGGGTCGACAGAGTCACGTGGCCACGCATCCGCTGACTAACACACGCGCGACGCGGGTTGGCTAGTGCCCCCCAACTGAATCACGATAACATCCAGGCAGGCTTAATGCTCTAGCTCCCCACGTTCAAACGTGAACGACAATTCAGATGTTTGAAACGATAGTAGCTGAAAGACGTACCGGCAACACACTGTCGGCTTCATGACTCGCAACAATCTCGCAGACCATCTGCCCTGGCTGTTGAACAACCTCGCTCTCCCGAAGCCTTCGACCCTCACGTTTCCCAGCGCCAGCGACGGTTCCCAGTCTGGTCCCTCCCAGTCGCAATCCTACGACCCAGACGCACAAGAAGTCGAATCCGAGACGAGAATCGACCTCGAAGACGGGCCATTCCCTACCCATCCCGCGCCGAATAGATCAAATGGCTTGGGCCGGACAAGCACGGCCTTGCGGGATACGGACCAGGTGATACTAGTGGAAGACACCATGGCACGCCTCACGTCGAGTGTCAAATCGAAGAAACCCAGCCTCGTTTCCAAGCCGCAGCAACAGCTTCTCACCCCCGCATCCACCAAGCATCGCTCGCTCCAACCTGACACCCAGGTAAAGCGTGACACCGGTAAGCATGAGACCCTGCCCACCTGCCCACTGAGCTCGGTCTGATCATCTACAGGTATCCGAAGTCCTCTACCGAGCCGAAAACATGAACCCACTCCGAAGAAACAGATCGCAACCTCTCGAGGCCACCGTGCAAGCAGCCTCGATTTCCCAGACCTCGACTCCAACGACCTAGAATGCATGGACTTGACCACCGACACATTTCCATCATCTGATTCACTGCAGTTCGGAGACGACATAAAACTATCGCACGATAATCCCGCGTCTCGGCCCGAGCTACCTGTGTCGGGTGGAAAGAAGAGGAAGAATAATGACATTAGCAAGGAGGAATTTGCAGATATGGATGATTTCCCCGATGTCTATGAACTCCTCGGAACCGACCCACCAATCTCCAGCCCAAGCCGGTCAATATCACGTCGGAAAGATGGCACCAGCAGTGCTAGGGCACGTAGGATACGTGAACTTCCTGTCGAACCTACGTCCCCCAGCAGGAGACTTGGCCCTGTGGAAGAAGAAAATGACCTACCTTCTCCATTAACAGAGGCTTTGATTCGGAAAACCCAACCTGTCCGTGGAAGGACGCCCAATGGAGAAGATGCCGGTCCCTCCTCTTCTGCAAGTCGCAAGAAAGCAAGAAATTCTCCCACAGAGTCACCAGGCCCTGAAGCAGTACATCGCCCGGACCGATCCTCGATACATCGACAATCAACAAGCCAGGATGATCTAGTAATTCCCGACTCTGACGAAGAGTTCTTGACGCCACCCTCTCACAACAGTTCACTGGTTGTTTTGGGAGCAACCACCACGAATGCTATCCAAAATGGGACAGTCACGAAGAGGAAAACCTCACCAGCGTTGCAAATTGTAAATGCCTTGAACTCCGATAGACCAAAATCCCCGACACGACCAATCGAACCGAAGACAGCAAGTTCCGACGACCAAGATTTCGGTGAATACATGCTACAACAAGCTGCGGCACCATCAAGTCAAACACCAAGAATTCTCATCCGTTTGTGTGCCGATCCGGGTCTCCTGACCAAGAGGGGCGATGTCGTCGACAAGTTGATCCAGCAGAATGATAGAAACTTCTCGAGAGCGATCAACGAACGTTGGCCGAAGGACAAGCGAAGCCATATCAAGTCGGAAAAGGAGCGGCTGCTGCGACAACAGAAAGCGATCAAGGACCTTTCTGGACCAACAGACTCTTATATGTTGCTCTGCAAAAACCGCGAAAACCTTGTGAAACAAGTAGCCCAAGCGTACTCTGAGGGACTTGATACGGATGAGGATGAAACTCGGCTGGATGAGTTGACTGACGAAATTCAAGAGGTGGAGCAGTCTCTCCTTAAAGCTTTCGATGATGCTGGTCTAGACGAAGATGCTCTTTTGCAGAGCTCTCAACCCAGTTCTTGCTCGACTCCTGGCCAGGTCGTCGTGATGGGCACTCAACCAGCATTTCAAAGTAACGTCAACATGTCGGCGCCATCAAGAGAACCCATGCCTGTGATCGATACAGGGTCACAAGTGGTCCATCAAACACAACTCCCCGAAACATCTCAACGAAAATCCCGGAATGAAGCCATCCTCACAACCGAACTACCTCCAAGAATGAGCTTGATCTCCCAAGACGAAGACGACATGTCGTTCCTCCCTTTCCCAAGGGACTCTCAGAGGCCCTCAAAAGCCAACAGTCGACCACAGCCAACAAAGAAAGCCCCTGTACATGTTGAGTTTGATGTGCCGGATGAAGGGTTTTCCGATACAGATGATTATGAGCTTCAACCCGCATCACGGCCTGCGACAAAGTTGGTGCCCGCCACTACTCGAAGAACCCCTCAAACCACCCGCCAACACCGTACTCGCGATGAGTTTAGCGACTTCAGTGACGACGAAGATATGATTGCATTTGCACAAGACTATGAGACTCGCCAGTCACTTGGAGTTTCTTCTCAGGGCTCTAGAAGGGTCTTCACCGAGACATCAGGAAACGCTGCCGCCACAACGAGATCACGAAGCACCTCAAAGAGGCAAGCTACCCCTGCGGTGGCAGAAGCAAGAATACCGCCTGAACTCATGCGGCATTCGTGGTCTCCTGAAGTTCAGAGGATGCTGAAGGATCGCTTTAGAATGAGAGGATTCCGGCACAATCAGCTCGAAGCCATAAACGCCACACTGGGAGGTGAAGATGCGTTCATCCTCATGCCAACGGGTGGTGGCAAGTCCCTTTGCTACCAACTTCCTGCCGTGATCAAGACTGGCAAGACTCGAGGTGTTACCATTGTTGTATCTCCCTTGATCAGTCTGATGCAGGATCAAGTTGACCATATGAAAGCCTTGGGAATCCAGGCTGTTGCATTCAATGGAGAGTGTTCGGCCGAATACAAGAGGCAGGTGATGAGTGCCTTTAATGAGCGAAGCCCGGAGCACTTCGTTGAACTGCTATATGTCACCCCAGAGATGGTGAGCAAAAACAATGCGTTCAATAATGGGATGATGACATTGTATCGCAAAGGCAAGCTCGCCAGACTTGTCATTGACGAAGCACACTGTGTCAGTCAATGGGGCCATGATTTCCGACCTGATTACAAAACTTTGGGTCAGGTCCGGCTGAGGTATCCTGAAGTGCCGGTGATGGCTCTCACAGCTACTGCGACGCAGAATGTGATTGTCGACATCAGGCATAACCTAGGCATGCCTAACTGCAAAACCTTCTCACAGAGTTTCAACCGACCGAACTTGTACTACGAGGTTCTCCCAAAGACATCCAACACCAACGCAACGGAGAGCATTGCGTCTCTCATCAGATCTAAATATTCCAACTTGAGTGGGATTGTCTACACCATTTCGAGAAAGCAGGCCGAGGACGTTGCGCAGAAGCTTACAAACCATGGCATCACGGCGCGGCACTATCATGCAGGTATCGACCCCCAGGAGAAGGTCGAGGTACAGACTTCGTGGCAAAAGGGGGACGTCAAAGTGGTGGTTGCCACCATTGCCTTTGGCATGGGAATTGACAAGCCAGATGTGAGATTTGTCGTGCATCACGGTCTTCCTAAGAGCTTAGAAGGGTACTATCAGGAGACGGGTCGTGCAGGCAGAGATGGCAAGCCGTCTGACTGCATTCTTTTCTATGGCAAAGGGGACATAAGGGTCCTGAAGAAATTGATTGCAGATGGTGATGGAAATGCCGAGCAAAAGGAGCGACAGATGGTGATGCTGAATCGGGTTACTGCGTTTTGCGATAACAAGTCTGACTGCAGACGAACGGAGGTCCTCCGATACTTTGGCGAGGACTTCACGTCTGATCAATGCCAGAAATCGTGCGACAACTGCAAAGCGGGATTGACATTTGAGCAACAAGACTTCTCGGAATACGCTATCGCTGCTATCAAAGTAGTTCAACGACAGAGGCGGTTGACGCCGACGCAGTGCGCCGAAATCTTGTTGGGCAAAAAGTACCCCCCCCAAGAGCAACATCTGTCGGATGAATTCTATGGATCGGCGAAAGGGTTGAAGAAACACGAGCTCGTAAGAGTGATCGACAAGCTATCGGCGGAGAAGGCCTTTGACGAAGAGAATGTCGTTGGCAATTACGGGGTGGCGATCCAGTAC